TCTACTTCTTCTCCATGCGTTCTTGAAGAGAGGAAATTGGCCAAGTGTAGAGATTTTCAGACTTTTACATTCAAGGTGTTTTCGATCTTTTATTATTTCAATAAAGAACTTCGTGATTTTTATTATGAATATGCGTAACTGGTTCTCCTTTTGCTAGGGTGAAGCCACGAGTCTTAGCAAGAATATGTAGTCTCTTTTCAATTTGCTTATTATACAAACTATCTAATTTTCTTAAAGCTTAGCTACCATTAGGATCTTTAGAAAATTAATTTGATGCAATTTTTGTGACATCCCACATCACCCAGGGGAGTGATCCTTAAATGTATATTCCCATCCCTACCTAGCACGAGACCTTTTGGGAGCTCACTGGCTTCGGGTTCCGTAGGAACTCTGAAGTTAAGCTAGAAGGGGGCTTGAGCAATCCCATGATGGGTGACCCACTGGGAAGTTGCTCGTGAGTTCCCATAAAAAAAACCGTGAGGGAATGGTAAGCCCAAAGCGGACAATATCGTGCCACAGTGGAGGAACGGGCTCGGGAAGTGGTCCCTCCCAGGCCGGGATGTGACAATTTGGTATTAGAGCCTAACCTTGGTCGGGGTGTGCCGATGAGGACGTCGGGCCCCTAAGGGGGTGGATTGTGATATCCCATATTACTCTGATACCAATTGTCACATCCCGCCCTGGGTCTGATCACTTCTCGAGCCCCGTTCCACCACCGTAGCACGATATTGTCCACTTTGGGCTTATCATTCCCTCACAGTTTTGTTTTTGGGAACTCACGAGCAACTTCCCAGTGGGTCACCCATCTTGGGATTGCTCTAGCCCCCCTTCTCGTTTAACTTCGGAGTTCCTACGGAACTCGAAGCCAGTAAGCTCCCAAAAGACCTTGTGCTAGGTAGGGATGAGAATATACATTTAAGGATCACTCCCCTGGGTGATATGGGATGTCACAATATAGGACAATATCATGCTACGGTGGTGGAGCAGGCCCGGGAAGTGATCCGCCCCGGGCCAGGATGTGACAATTTGGTATTAAAGCCAATCCCTAGCCGAAAGTGTGCCGATGAGGACATCGAGCCCCTAAGGGGGGTGGATTGTAACATCCCACATCGCCCAAGGGAGTGATCCTTATGAATATTTCCATCTCTACCTAGCACGAGGCCTTTTGGGAGCTCACTGGTTTCGGGTTCCGTAGGAACTCTGAAGTTAAGCGAGAAAGGGGCTAGAGCAATCCGATGATGGGTGACCTACTGGAAAGTTGCTCGTGAGTTCCCAAAAATAAAACCGTGAGGGAATGGTAAGCCCAAAGCGGACAATATCGTGCTACGGTGGTGGAGCGGGCCCGAGAAGTAATCTGCCCCGGGCCGGGATGTGACAATTGCTATCAGAGCCTAACCCTGACCGTGGTGTGCCGACGAGGACGTCAGACCCCTAAGGGGGGTGGATTGTGATATTCCACATCGCCCAAAGCAGACAATATCATGCTACGGTGGTGGAACGAACCTAGGAAGTGATATGTCCCAGGTCGGGATGTGACAATTTGGTATCAGAGCCAATCCCTAGCCGAAAGTGTGTTGACGAGGATGTCGGGCCCCTAAGGGGGGTGGATTGTAACATCCCACATCGCCCAGGGGAGTGATCCTTATGTATATTTCCATCCCTACCTAGCACGAGGCCTTTTGGGAGCTCACTGGCTTCAGATTCCGTAGGAACTCCGAAGTTAAGCGAGAAGGGGGCTAGAGCAATCCCATAATGGGTAACCCACTGGGAAGTTGCTCGTGAGTTCCCAAAAACAAAACCGTGAGGAAATGGTAAGCCTAAAACGGATAATATCGTGCTACGATGGTGGAGCGGGCCCGGGAAGTGATCCACCCTGTGGCGGGATGTGACAATTTGGTATCAGAGCCAATCCCTAGCCGGAACTGTGCCGACGATGACGTCGGGCCCCTTAGGGGGGTGGATTGTAACATCCTACATCATCCACGGGAGTGATCACCGTAGCACGATATTGTTCGCTTTGGGCTTACCATTCCCTCACGAATTTGTTTTTGGGAACTCACGAGCAACTTCCCAGTGGGTCACCCATCATGTGATTGCTCTAGCCCCCTTCTCGCTCAACTTTGGATTTCCTACGGAACCCGAAGCCAGTGAGCTCCCAAAAGGCATCGTGCTAGGTAGGGATGGGAATATACATTTAAGGATCACTCCCCTAGGTGATGTGGGATGTCACAATCCACCCCCCTTAGGGGCCCGACGTCCTCGTCGACACACCACGACCAGGGATAGGCTCTGATACCAATTTGTCACATCCCGGCCTGGGCAGGACCACTTCGCGGGCCTGCTCCACCACCGTAACACGATATTTTCTACTTTGGGCTTACCATTCCCTCACGGTTTTGTTTTTGGGAACTCACGAGCAACTTCCCAGTGGGTCACCCATCATGGGAGGATTGCTCTAGCCCCCTTCTCGCTTAACTTCAGAGTTCCTACGGAACCCGAAGCCAGTGAACTCCCAAAAGGCCTCATGCTAGGTAGGGATGAGAATATACATTTAAGGATCACTCCCTTGGGTGATGTGGGATGTTAAGATTTTGGTAGAAGGTTGGGCCCTGAAATTGATGAAGGTTTCTTGTGATTAATATGTGCAAGTTCACTTAGGATGAATACCACGTCTTAAGGGTTGTATGGTTTTTCAAAAGGTTTCACAAAACTTAAGGAGTCATTTATGTTTATATTGGATCTGAATACCACATACGGGTTGCATGTTTGATATACGCTCTATGTTAGAGGTCCAAGTAGGCACATTTTAGGAAAACCAAACCTTCAAAATATGCATGTGTAATTCATAAGTAATTGAAAGAATTACATAGGATTGTTAAGGTAACGGTGGAATCCTAGGCTTTTACAATTTAATTTTCAAAAATCTTTTGTTTTAGTTTATTTTATTTTGGCACTTAGTTAATTATTTTCTATTAAGTTCGTTTTTATTATTTGAAATTACAAAATTAACATTTTTTCAAACTTTTTTTTAAATAATTAATTAAGATTTGGTTTGATACAAATTATTCATTAAATCCTTGTAGATAACGACTTTGTTAGAGTCATCTATGCTACAATTACTTTGTACTCTTGTAAGTATTTAAAGTATTTTGCTCTCTATTTTTGCAGGTTGCAAAATCCTTATCACAAATTTAATATTAATCTCACATTTATGAATGAAAATGACACGCTTGGTACCGTTGGGCTTGAACAATCAAAATCTTGAATAGTTTGCGACTTTTAATCCTACTATATATTGAAGCTCCTTGGGCCTTGACAACCACATTTTTATGATTATGACGGGTTTGCAGCAGGGGCTGGTATACTCCTTCCTTCCGAGCAGTGGAGTTGAGTTGTTAAGTCTATTTATTTGTTTTATTATTAAAATAACATAAAATACGTCCACGCTGAGTTTCCAAAAGTTTCCACCCACTCTACTGTTTTTGTTTAAGAATTATTAACGGTAAATCAGTTATAGACCATGACAAATATTCCAACTGCCCTCATCCTTTTTTTTTTTCTTTTTTTTTTTTTTTTTTTTTTTTGTTGTTAATCAAAGTAAATTTTATTAAAAAAATAAAGCTAGTACAAGATGAGGATAACTTAAAAAGAGAGTTCAGAATAGCTAAGCAAAAGCCCAACTCTATAAAAAAAGATTACAATGAAATGGGCCCAAAGTATGCAGCCCAACGCAACTAACATCCAGAAATGCCTAGACATAAAAATGTAAGGTAGCCACCTCCACAAAAACAAAACCACTGCCATTGTAGATTTGTCGCCATCATCCGAAAGAAGGGTTGAAGAACCAAGTGGATGAATGGAAAATGGGGTAGGCAAGCTACCTGCGCTGAGAGCGCTTCCATAATCCTACCAGATAGTGCAAAATGCACTTTAAATGCTACAAGCCATCAAAGTGCACCTCTGCAGGAGATCCTAAGAAGAGACACCCAATGAAACGAGCGTCAAGGGTGGATGGTTTGTAAATTCATAGTGAGGAGCGATATTTGGAGAGGACCAGGGTATAGAAGCCAGATTTGAGATAAACTCAAGCACAACTGAGACCAAGCACAGAGCAACCTGAGACACAAAATGCTCAGAAATGAGAAAGTTGAAAGGTAAATGCATAAAAAAAAAATCCATATCACCAACCATGGTGGTTTGGAGTCGGGGGGAAAAGGAGGAGATTAGAAGGTAGGGGGAAAACTGAGGGAGAGAAGGGGAGATATGGAGGTAATAAAGGGTGGAAGAAAAGGGGACGAAAAACAAGTAGAGAAGGGGAGAAAGGAAGGGTTCAAAGGGTGGAAGAAAGGAGAAGAGGGAGGAGGGGTGGGCACTGGGCTGCTGCCGACCCCAAGCCGGAGCAAGGAAGCAGGAAGGGTTTCAAAGCTTTAGAGGTTTCTGAATGTGAGAAAGGGGCACGGAGTCGTAGGAAGAGCTTTTTTTTTCCCTCTCTCATCTTGTCTAATTATAAATTTTGATATAGACCTTTTAACGATATATGTTATTAGCGTCTTATTTTTTTGAAGGTGTGATTCAACAATAAGAACTATTTAGTTTCCGAATTCTCTTTGAATGTTAGAAATCGCTCCAATTAGTAATTAGAAAGTCGTTTAATTATCTGCATTTCATTTCAGCTTTATATAATCAATCATTCACATTTTATATGACCAAACATTTTTTTAATTTAGATGGATTTTTTTTCACAGATGAACGTTGAATAAGGATCTAAAATATAGATAGTTCTAATTGTATCAATAACGTATGAAAGTATCCTTACAGTAGAAAGCCTGAATCTTAACTAATTTGATAGAACATATATGTAATCCCACTTCATCTGAAAAACTTAAGTTTATAGGGTGATGAGGCTCAACCATAAATCAGCTGTATTTCGGTGAAAAAAACTTTATTTCACTTACTGTCTTTAGTATGTGGGACTTGTCACTTTCGTGGACAACGTGGAAATTTTCATACCATTGGTCCAGAACTGTTGTGCTCTCCAAACCCTATGTTCCATTCATCCTCTCCAATAAATGAAGTCATGGAGCAACGAGAAAAAGGAATATGAACCAGATTGTTCAGTCAGAGAAAATGAAGTATGGCATGGCAGAAACGGAGGCTTTTCTAAGGCTTTCTGCAGTTTTAATACTAGTCCTTACTGCATGTTTAGTAGGATTTGATTCCCAAACCAAATATGTAGTTTTCTTCTATCGAAAAGCCACCTTCAGAGATTTGAATGCACTCTTGTAAGATCTCTTAAAATTTTTCTTTTTCTATGTTTATCTGCTGCAGTCCCTCAGCTTATATGCTCTATTCAATATTTTGTCCTCTTTGTTAGGCTTTTGGTTTATGTAGTTTCGGTGGCTGCGGGTTATAATTTGCTTCAAGTTGGAAAATCTTCTCTGTCAGCTTGCTTCAAACCAAATTTGAAAGTGCGGACTAATATATACCTAGCTTGGATTTGTTTCTTGTTGGATCAGGTATTACTCCTTCCCCTGACGTTCGTATATTTTGTTTCTCATTTCTGTAGTATTTTTATCAATTTAAACTACCTATTAACAAAATCCTATTTGTCAATCAAAGGAGGATAAAAATACATCTTCTATCCCAACAACAAAATTATGGAGAGTAAGCAAATCTTGCTGTTTTTTATTTAAGCCTCATCTACATCTGGTTTTAGCATATATCTAATATGAAAAATTAAAAAAAATAAAAAATAAACTTCTCTGACCACTCCGACTCCCACATTCTCTTTTTCCCTCTATTTTTCCTCATTTTAAAAACAAAAATAAAAAATATTAACACATACAAAATGTGTAGTTATATGCTAGTATCTTTTATGAGTCCACGACACAAGAAGATTACGGGATGGGAAGCACTATTTGGATTGTATCATTTGTTCATCGTTTCGGTACGGCGATAAGTAGTCTTTATTTTTGTTTTCTTATTTTGGTGCTTGGGGTGCCTAAGGCCCAAGAATTGAAGACCATATAGTCATTCTGAAGGACTTTCCCCATTAATTTAAGACCATATGGTCATCCGCTGAAGGACTCTCCCCATTAATTTAAGTTCTCCTTTCTCTCACTCACTCTCTCACTCATTTGAAAATCCTCCCAGTGGCCCTCCCTGGCTAGTCTATGTGTACCATGGGCGGAAATTTTTTTTATACATGGATATATTTTTTTTCTTTTTTCATGAACAAACGATATTATCTACATTAAAAGGAAGAGAGATGAGCTTAGTCTCACAATGAGTTAGCAATAATGTAGTTCAAATTCACTTTTAACGAGAATCGAACTTAAGATCTCTTACTTACAAGTAAGATGAATATTACTAAACTGTAATACTCAATGACATACATCATATATATACTTATATCAAGAGGTACTCTGTTGTGATAGTATTAGTGGGAGAAATTTCCCGTACACGTTGGGCATCTCTCCTCCTATCTCTTTCTTTCCCTGTTATGTGGTGGTAGAGAGAGAAGAAAGATAATCGAACATGGGAAAGGAAGTTAATGTTTTGTGGGGCATTTGACGCAATTGGCTCTGTGAGTTGGAGGGTGTGAAAGGGACTATGATTTGATATGATATGATATGATACGATGAGGAAATTGTGGGGTTTACTGATTGGTTGATGCATATTATATATGCGTGCTAGTCTTAAAGCTAAGATCGTCTTTATTCCCAAGCGCTTACAAAAAATTTTATTTGTAAACCAAACCTCTCTATTACTTATCAAAGGATGAAAGTTGAAATCCTCCTAAAGCATGGTTTTGATAATATAAGAATTATATAACATATTTAAAACATCTACCTAAGTAAGTGTGCATGCCTTTTTCAATTTATTACGTAAGAGCATTTTTAATGGGAATGACAAATTATAAAAGTTAAACTATAATTGATGGATTATATGACAATGTGAAGTATTGTGTCAAATTTAATGTTTTTCAACCGTGGTGTCCAATATTATTGTCATATATTGACAGAATATTTTTTTACAATTGATGTATGGCGTGGCAAATGTCAAATGAAATTTTTATTTTTGTTTATTTACTATCCACAATCAAGACTTTATTTGTTTTACAATTCATCACGCAAACTTGTAGTGTTAGAAAATATGGCACATTTTTCCAATTTTTTTCGAAAATTCAATAAAATATGAGCGTGCTGTTTGCACCCTTTTCGAGGGCATTATCAAAATTTCATCAGTCCACAAGATAAGGTAATACTATGCTTTTCCTCAAAATTTCATGATACTAACAATCAGAGCATATTAAAAGGGTTCTTTAGAAATTGGTTTGATTTGATAAATTTTTGTGCTTTTTTGTTATTATTTTGATACGGATCATGTATTTTTTTTTGGCCATTAAATTCGTTTAAAATAAAGAAAAAAAGATTCGAAGTAAGTTCGGTTCGTTTCTTTTAACAACCATGTATTCTGTCTGCTTAATGCGTATTAATTTACAGAGCATATAAATGGAAAATTTGTTTCAGGATAACAATAACCCAACATTTTGTTAAACAGATGGCAGTGTACGTCACATTTGGTGCAAACTCAGCTACGTTCCAGGCTTCACTTTTAGCAGTAACAGGGCAAGAAGATTTTCAATGGATCAAGTTGTGCAGCAAATATACAAGATTTTGCTTTCAAATTGGTGGGGCTTTGACATGTGGATATGCAGCATGTATCGTAATGGCTTTCGTATCCTCCATCAGCGCTTTCAACCTCTTTAGGCTTTACACACCAAAACAATTTCTTCAGTTAAAGACTGCAGGATGACCAACGATCTCAGAAAAAAAAAACTAAAAATTTACCACGTATGTTCATTTATAAATAAAATATAATGTAACCAAATAAGCGCTTGGTCACTAAAATGCTATAGGTAATTACTAGCAGTTAAGACCGCGATGCCACGGATTTTAAAAGTATGTTAAACATGTGTTATAGATATGTTTGATCAGTAAATGTCCCATTAGATTATGTATTTCAAGTATCCAATGCAATGCATTAGGACCTCTTGAAACTGCATATAAATAAAAACGCATGTCGTTTGCTTGGTTATGAATTGCAATAAGATGCAAAAATTGCCAAATATAAGATTCTATTGTAAATTATGTGTTGCCATCTAAGGTTAGATGTATTTTGCTTGACTGGATTCGGCATTACATCTTAACGAAACGATCGAAATGCTTCGTATTTTACTATCGAATATCAAATAAGCATGGCTATTGTCATTGTAATAAATCATTCGAAGTTTCACACTTGATAGAGTAGAAGCCAGAAGCACAGCAAGACATCTGGAACTTTGCCGATGTTTCCTCAAAGATCTGTTCTGCAATGAAGGCCTCATTACCATATGCTCTTTTTGATCTCCAAGTGAGCCCTTTGGTTCCAGCTGATAGAGGATATTTAGAAGTAGATATTATACATCTTCTTAAAAGTTATGATTACTTGCGCCGTAAGTTAATTCTAAATTATAAAAACTCTAAGACTTAAAGGATCTGATTATGTCCATGTTCGAATTAGATCACGTGTCTTTCAGATCAAACATGATCATCCAATATAATCGCTAGGTATGAGAACCCGTATTTTATATTTTCTGCTATTGGGACTCACTGTTAATTTTGGATCAAATATGTTGGCCCAGTTTTAGCTATTAGTCCATCCCAATATTTCTTTAACCCGTTACTTTTACAATCTATATTACTTTCACAAGTGTCACTAGGGTAATGACCAATATTTATTTGTAATTATTTTTACAAGATCTCCAAGTTTTGCAGCCGCCATCTTTTAGTATAAATAAGACATTCCTCCAACTGTTTCCAAACGTGAAATTGTTTGAGAAATGCATGCTATGCATGCAAGTATGTGCTTTTTTATTTTATTTTAATTTTCTTTTCAAAATTTTTTTTTTTTTTTAAACTTTTTTTTTTTTTTTTTTTTTTTTTTTTACGTGGAGGTTGGTGTAAATATAATATGTATGTACGTGTGTGTATATATTATATATGTTTAGAGAAGGATTTTAGAAAAGAGAATAGAATGGAAGAAATACACATACTTAGGAGTGATCAGTAAGTTTAGCTTTGTTAGTAGTGACGTAGATCTTCATTTTAGCTTTGGAAGGGTTTCTTGGGGAACTTATCACTATTGGGGTGTTTACTTATCACTATTAGGTGTTTGTCTTATTTAAACTTTGTGAAATATGAGTTATATTTAATATGTTTATAACTGATGTAACTATTTTGTCTTTGAACTCTGATATATTATTATTATTTTCAATAATGTGGATGTTGTGATAATGTTGATAATTATATGCATATATCATTTCATATTGTTTTTATTGGTATATTCAGAGATTGGATAATGAAAAGGAAACTATATTTTGTGTGGTTGAGTTCAACTCTCGTTAGGACTAGCAAGGGTGACAAAAGTGTAATTATTGGAATGGTATGAAGTAGTGGGGATTCTGGCGGCCGAGAGGAGAACAAGGTGACCAAGAAAATGGGGAATTTGGGATGATTTAGTTATGGGGGTAAGTTTGTATAACACATCATTCGACTATCGCTGTAAAATGTAGAGTATGGGACGTGTAGGTTCGCGTGTTTTATTATATAGATTAACGGGTTGGGGTAATTGAAGTTACAGTGCATTCATGGTTTATCAATTAAATATTATTGGTAATTGAAGTTAAGTTGCATTCATGGTTTATCAATTATTAAATAGTGATTAATGATAATATGTTATAGTTGATTACGTGTTGCATGACACTTGGTTTAGCTTGACAATTGTCCTTGATAAGACTTATGTCCCTACTGAGTTGTGATTTTGCTCACCTTATACATTTTAGACCTTGCAGGTTTGGTATGAGATTAACGAAGGTAGACGAGCTGAGGTTCTATTAGAAGAGAAATTTAAGGGTTTTATTTTAGGGTTAAATTCAATTTAAACTCAGTTTATGACCCTGAAATTTAAGGGCTTATAAAAAAGATGACCCCGTGCCCAGCGAAAGTAAACATAAAAATAAAACGAAAAGCTAAACTTCTCTTATAAAAATAATTCGAAAAGCTTACAAGGTGTACAAAAGAGGTAATCTCAATTTACTACCCTGAAGTTTCTTGGTTTTTAACATTTCATGCATCAAGTTTTGTTTATTGTTTTTTTTTTTTTTTTTTTTTTTTTTTTTTTTTTTTTTTGTCCCAATCTGGTACCTAAAGTCATAATTATGGGACATTTTCATACATTCGTTATGTTTTTTTCAGAACATCTGTTAGCTAATGACGTGGTGCCCACATGGACAGTGACTGTGCACCACGTGTCAACCTAGCTCCACGTGAATATTAAAAATTTTAAAATAATAAATAAAAAAAATTTAAATGAAAAAAAAAAAATTTGCTCCTTCCACTCCTCTCTTAGCGGATCCCTCAGAACCCACAAGCACTTAAACATAATCTGGTCATCCTGAGTCCCAACCCAAACCACCACCACCACCCAAGAAATGAGTTGTCGCGGATGGCCGAAGACCTTCCCCCCAGGTTCGATAAAAAGCATGACGCCTCAAAAGGGAGGAAGTTCGATCCTTGCTTAAAAATTTTGGACTCATGCCAGAGCTCTCATTCTCCAACTGACGAACATCTTTCACATCCTCAGTTGACCGGATAAGTATGTTCCCATCCTCTGAATTAATTGAGTGCCACAATTTGTTTGATTTGGCGAAAAAACTGCATGGGTCGATGGTCTGAGCCAGAATCCGACTCACTCTAAAATCAGAGATCTTGACCTGGTTGCTCGTGTTGATCAGAAGATTTGAGTACTCGACCCGAGTCGCTTCGAATCCCGGAGTTCCCCTCCATTAGGATCTAGACCCGACCAGCTTGTTCTTGTGTTCTCAAATCATTAACATCTCTCAAATTCACCTGATTGAATACCCCTAGATTCATTAAAAAAATTAAAATCCCTCAAAATCCCAATTGAATACACCCCCCTTAGGGTTAAGTATTTGGAATTGGGGTTTACGGATTTGGGGTTTTTGAAGGAATAATTTGTGAAAACAAGTTCATTTGAGCAACATCTATGCATGCAATTGCATACTACTGACAACTAAAACAGACACACAAAACCCGTTTACAATATTCCTCGCAACCAAACAAACACTTCCTCCTCATCCTCCTCCTCTTAATAAAAATGAGTGTGAAAGCAAAGCAAGCATACCTTAGGTTTTAAATCAGGAGTCATCGGAGCTGATTGATCCGAGGCAGCGGCATCGCTACTACGTCAAAGGTCAAGAACGGCGTTGACCAAGTGGCAGTTCCTAGAGACGAAATAAGGGAAGGTGCAATGGTCGGAGGCGGCTCTGAATTTCTTGTGAGTACGCTTCGATTTATCGCACAAGCCGACGAAATCGACGACGAAGAATTCGTTCTGGAGCGGCTAGGTGGCGAGGGAGCGGCAATTCCTGGAGCAGTGAAGGAGTTGAGCATTCAGCGTCACTGACTGCAGAGCCATTGTTGGAAGCAGGCCCAGAGAGAGAAAGCGATGAGAGAGAGAATGGAGTGGGGGGGTGAGTTTTAGAGAGAGAAAGTGTGATGAGAGAGATGAAGGAGTTTGTGGAGAGTGAGAAGAGGATGGGATAAATGGGCGGGGCTCGAAGCAAAACCAATCACCTGCGTCTCACTTCACCTCACCTAGACTGATCAGAAGGAATAGACTACAAAAAACTTTCATTATTGTCGGTTATAACCGACATAAACATTTTTTTAAAATAAAAACCAACATAAAATTTTCGTTACTGTCGGTTATAACCAATAGAAACAAAATGGAGGCATTAATCCCCCCAAAATTCCCTCTGAAAATTTTAAACTTTCTCCAAAAATTTTAAATCCCACCCCCCGCCCCCCCAAAAAAAAGAAAATTTGTTACGATTTTAAAAAATAAAATAATAATTGTTTGGTTTAATAAATAAATAAATAATATGTATTTAAATAGAATATATTTTTAAAAATTAAATAAATAATTTTTTGGTTTAATAGATAATTTTTACACTTTTGATTTAATAGATAATAATCCATGCAAAATATGCGATAAAGAAACAAAAAGAGAATTGTACAATGAAACTGTCACCACACAAACTAAATATTGTTTAATCAATACTTGAAAAATATAAATAAAAATTTAGCACAAATTACTTTTCCCACTTCAAAATTTAGGCAATTTTAACACAGATATGCATTCTACGAAACTAGTTTCCATGATCTAACCTTCAAACTTGTTTGTAGATACTGCAAGATCGCATACATAAAAATCGTAAAAGACAAACATTCAGCGATTACGTAATGGAACAAAAGTTTTCGACAGTTATAAACGAAAATTCACAATTTAACGGTTATTTTAGCTTCGATTTTAATGATTTTTTACAGTTACACTCCTCGACCCTATAAGAATGTAATGAATAAATTTGATCTTCAATTTAAAATATTTACAATAATGGATACCACAAAATCTTATTTTATATTTGATGGGGAAGTATAACATTAACTCTAAGTGTTTGTTTAATCTACCGTTTTGACTCGATATGCATTCTACGAAACTTTTTTCAATGATCAAACCGTCAAACTTATTTGTACACACTTCGAGATTGCATATGTAAAAAATCGTAAAAAACAAACATTCAGAGATTACGTAATGGAACAAAAGTTTTCGACAGTTATAAACGAAAAATTATAATTTAACGGTTATTTTAGCTCCAATTTTAATGATTTTTTACAGCTACACTCCTCGACCTTATAAGAATGCAATGAATAAATTTGATCTTCAATTTAAAATATTTACACTAGCGGATAGATTTTATACTTAATGGAAGTATAACATTAACTCTTGAGTGTTTATTTAATCTACCATTTTGGTGTGATACACAGTCTATGAAACTTTTTTCAACGATCTAACCATTAAACTTGTTTGTACATACTCCGAGATCACATAAGTAAAAAATCACAAAAAAAAAAAAAAACATTCAGAGATTAGGTAACAAAACAAAAGTTTTCGACGGTTATAAACGAAAAATCACAATTTAACAGTTATTTTACCTCCGATTTTGATGATTTTTTACAACTACACTCCTTGACCCTATAAGAATGCATTGAACGAATTCGATTTTCAATTTAAAATATTTACACTAGTGGATACCACAAAATCTTATTTTATACTTGATAGGGAAGTATAACATTAACTCTAAGTGTTGGTTTAATCTACCGTTTTGATGCAATATGCATTGTACGAAACGTTTTTCAGTGATCCGACCGTCAAACTTATTTGTACATACTCCAAGATCGCATACGTAAAAAATCACTAAAAACAAACATTCAGAGATTAGGTAACGGAACAAAAGTTTTCGATGGTTATAAATGAAAAATCACAATTTAACGGTTATTTTAGCTTCGATTTTGATGATTTTTTGCAGCTACACTCCTCGATCCTATAAGAATGCAATGAATGAATTCGATCTTCAATTTAAAATATTTACACTAGTGGATAAATCTTATTTTATACTTAATGGAAGTATAACATTAACTCTTAAGTGTTTGTTAAATCTATCAATTTGATAGGATATACATTCTACGAAAGTAGTTTCAACGATCCAACCGTCAAATATGTTTGTATATACTTCGAGATAGCATGTGTAAAAAATCGCAAAAAAAAAAAAAAAAAAAACACATTAAGAGATTATTTTGTCGACTGTCCAAAAGTTTGCTTTGTTCGTGTCGGTTATATCCGATAGGGCCATGAGTGAAAAAATAATATTTAAAACATGTGTTTATTTATTTTTAATTAATATAACATTTTAAAATAATAAAATCAGACATGATAAAGTACACTAGATGTTCATGTGTGTTTATGTGCCAGACAATGTGTTTTGTGACGCATTGAAAAAAATTGTTTGAATTTCTTTGTATCTTGTCGCTTGCCTATGAGGAAGCATAATCCTTATTACAAAAATAATAAAGTTTCAGATTGTAGTCTGTTGTTATTATTCTCTTAGAAAATTTATGGCTCTTGGGAATTGTGACACACCCCGACCCAGAAAGTCCACTTGGACCTTGAATCGAACTGTGCTGGCCGACACCTGGAAGGTGACGAAGCCATAAAATGTGATAGTGTACAAAAAGTGAATAAATTTGAATCTAAAAGTGTCTAAGTACCAGAGTGCGCTACGAGTGGGAGTGAACCCATTTCACACGCGATGTCAGAGCATAAGTAAGGTACAGTAGTATGGGTAAGAATCATACCCTCAAAAATATCCATTAATACTAAGATTCACCACAGATTGTTGTCGATACAAACTCAGCAGCTAAAACCTGGAGGGCACCAAACAGAAGGTGTGAGTAAGCAATAAAACCAAGCTTCCCAAAGTTATTACCTCTCTAAAAGTAATGCCCTAATGTAAAACCCGTATCGTTTTCCATAAGACAGTACAACATATATACATATATCCAAACCATACTCAGAAATGACCAAAACCACGGTTTGCCATTAACTCCACCATACATTAATAAGTAGGCCAAATGAACTAAATCAACACAAAGTGATATATCAGTCAGAGTCATCTAAAATGACATGTACAACTTATCCGTATCTCATCAATCATGGCTAGCATATAAGTCGGAGTCACCTCTAGTGACCTGTACGACTTATCCATATCTTATCAATCCTGGCTAGCATATAAGTCGGAGTCACCTCTAGTGACATGTACGACTTATCCATATCTCATCAATCCTGGAGTCACCTCTAGTGACATGTACGACTTATCCATATCTCATCAATCCTGGCTAGCATATAAGTCGGAGTCACCTATAGTGACCTGTACGACTTATCCATATCTCATCAATCCTGGCTAGCATATAGCTCAATAAGTATACCTGCACCTGAGTCGGAACCACCTAAAGTGGTCTGTATGACAGGACTGGGTGTAAATAAATAAGCTCAAGTGCTACGATCACGTGAAGACTGGGCGAATAATCGCGGGTCACCTACGAGTCGGAACCACCTAAAGTGGTCTGTACGACAGGACTGTGCACCTACCTTGAATCCAAGGTGAGCATAAGGTGTGGGAGGTGAACATCACGTGAAGGACTGTGCCCTGGCCACGGGCGGGAGCACTAACACCGGGGTGCAGGTTTATGAGCTCTCAATGCATCTCAATATAACATGTGCAACTCATGTCAACCAGTACGACAGTATCGAAGTTGCCTAACACATAACTGTAGTCGTGCTATAACGCAATCGATTCAACTAGTACCATAAACTCACCTGAACTTACCTGGGTGTCTTGAGTTCACCTTTGCACTTGAAAGCATTCCCAATAATTATATGCAAGTAATATACATATTGATATACTATGATGCAATCTAATACTCAACCATGTCGTAGCATGTTCAATTATAAACAATACAGTGAGAAGTGTACAATCAATAACGCATTACTCCCAAACTACTTATTTTCAGGGATAATTATCCATGACGACCCAATTAACACTAATTTAGCTAACTAATTCATAAAACTAAAACTTGCCTTTACCAATTTCCTTCGCCTTACTCAATTTCCCAAGTAAGGCTTTGGTCTCAAATATTTTATGGCTGCATCTAACGTCTCGTTAGACTGCCTACGTACCCTAAATAGGGATCAAGCCATTCGTAGTTCATATCGTACTTCAAGCATTCACAATAATTATATATGAAAGTAATATACCTAATCAACTTAAAAGTGTCGATAGAACTCTCAATAATATGTACGATAAAAAGGAAAAGATCCACTTACTTGGAGTCGACGCTATGATTCTCTAGCGCACACATCGAGGCGTCCTGAATGATTGGTCCCTGTGACCAATTATCAAATCACATCTCAGAACTCTTATCCGAAGAGTACGTAATTCACATAAAACACAACCTCAACGACATTCTAAAATAGTTTGATATCCATTGACCACAAGTCAATCGTCGATCAAAGATCGACGGTAGGGTTTACAACCCTGTATAACTTGACCCGGAAGATCCGCATATCAGATTTCCAATCCGCAACTCCAAACGATCCACAATATGTTTCAAGAATAACATACTAAAATTTCATTACGATCCAACGGTCAGATCTCCGCCAATTGCCTAAAACAAGTGGCCATGAACATTTATTTTACTAACTTACAAATCCAATTCAGGAAGATCCGTAAGTCGGATTCCCGATATGTAAATTCCTATAATCTTTAAATATTACGTATTATAATATATCCCATTTTGGTGACGATCCAACGGTCGGATCATCGATTCACATTTTTATCAAGTAACGTATCGTAACGAATTTAGGTTCCAACTATCAACCGACGTCATTCAAATGACAAAACTGAATTCAAGACATTTGACATAGCCTAAAAATAGCATTGGCGGCCCACTGGCCACGCGCCGCCGCACGCGCCGCCGCGGGTGGCGGTCGGCCGCCCCGACTCGCCGGAAAATCCAACTATTTCCAAAAATTCTCAAACTTCATAGAAATGAAGATCTCAGTGAGTGGAGCAACTTTCATACCTGCCACGAAGTCCAAAAGTGGATGGAAGATGGTCAATTTTTCCCACGAAGCGGGCGGATGCCTAAAACTTCCCGACGTCGATTCGTCGTCTACGGTGGTCCAACGGGGTCAAGGTTGGTTGGGTTTTGCTCCTGGGATGATGGGCTACAAAGCCCAAGTGGTGGCATCGGCCATTGCTTTGCCGATTTGCCGGAAAATCGAAAAGGGTGGCCGGAGCACCATTGATTTTCATCAACTTTCGTGGCCTCAAACCGCCTCATACCATGGTCAATCAAGGTGGTTCTTGGGTGGGTTTTGTAGAGGGGAATGAGAGCTTCAAGATGGTGGTGGTGGCATCGAAAAAATCCACCGGAGTTGGCCGGAATCGGCCTTGGAAGATGGTCTCGTGGTGGCGCGGGTATGGGTGCACGGGAAGCTCTCTTACCTTTTTTGTTTTTTTTGTTTTTTTTTTTCTTTCCTCCCTCCGTTTCTGATTTTGGGCTTCTTAAATTAAATACACACTAAACCTTGAATAACCAATTTCGAACGTCCGTAACTATACCGTTATAATCTGGACACGCAAACGGCTTTCGCCTATACGTTCGTACCAAAGAGTACTACGAGGATATGCTTAAAGAATAAGTCCCACATCTCTCAAGTCGATGGTCAACGGAAGTCAAAGTCCTTGCCTCTAGGGCAATTTAGTAAATTCACGCTTTTAAAATAAAATAAAAACGTAAAATTTGGAACGGGTTGTCACAATCTACCCACCTTAAGAAAATTTCGTCCTCGAAATTTAAAATCATCAGTCCAAAGTAGAATACTCAAAATTAAAGAGATATATGTATGTAAATACATACACGAGGAAGATACAAAGTGATGGCGACTACATAAAAGAGGATGACATTCCGTCATGATCGGAGCGTAGTGACTCTTCTTTCATGCCTCCAAATTCCTACTATCCTCTCATAAACGTGTTCAAAGCGTAACGCACTTCGAAATTAAGCATGTAATATTTTTGGGTCAAACCCAAACAACCATTAACGAATTAAATAAGTAAATACAAATATTAACGTAGAATAATCTACTTGTTTACTTGCTTAACAACCTAACGAATAAGTTATTAATATTACGGTCTGCACCCCGCAAAACCGACAATTCACTGTTGTCTTGATAAGCAAGTAACAATTCCCGAGGGTGCAATATTACCATCTTGCCCCTCAATGGAAAATACACATGCCAACCTTGATCGTACTCATTCACTACCTTCTGAGGCAACATCGTCAATAACATAAATTTTCTACATCACAATCTCAATCAAATATTTGTTCGCAATAATCTGCTGTAAATCACAAACTGCACATACAATATTTGTATTATATTTCGAAGGATACCATACTCCTAAACAGGAATGTAACCGTAGTTACCCATAATTCTAACAAAAGTATGCGTTCATTAAATATGCGTTGTGCGTAAAATCTCCATACATCAACTCCAATGATACCATAGTTAACCCGAAATTGTAACCGTGGTTACAAGTGACTAAAATGGAGATAAGGATATACTGCAACCATGCTACTGGTGGGACAAACAAGATGCAACTCGCCCACAAAGGTCTGAGTAACTCATTTCAAACTAATCGTTAATCTAGGGATAGAAATGCAATAAGGAACAACTTCTAATACTCAAAACCTTCATAACGACTTCCAAAGGCTTGGAAGTGAAACATGTAACACGATGAAATATAAATACACCAAGATGATAATCTTGTCAGGTTTCCGTTTACTGAAATTGGTATAAAAGTCTAGGAGTAGTTTTCTCAAAAAGTCATCGTCCTCTGGACGCACTTAGAAAATTGTAGTTGTCCAGAAAATTTTGAACTCTATAACCTCAATATCCTCACAACATTAATCAAAGGCAAGGTCCATCTAGAGTGAGGATTCATTTAAAACACATCAAAGGAAGCCTCGATTTTATATCTTCCCTACTTCCACATTTGGTCACGTCACAAAGAGAACTTCTAGATCACATCACCCGAAGAGGTTGACTACATCCCACTTCTATCTTAGTGGTCTTCACAAGTGTCTGATTGTTGAAATTTCAACACCCATTTTCAGGAAATAACTATTGTCAATACTTCAATTTTTTGAGCAAGAAAAATATTGTTTTCTACTTAAGTAAACAACCACCAATTGGAACATCATATAGGCGTATCATCGGTTTAGCATCACGATTAATGAATTTCACATTCTTTACATATACCACATATCTCGAACTGCGCATATAAAAAGATACTTCCCAATTAAATAGAAAAGGACAAGTTGGAAATGTGCGAGAGTAGATACACGATAGTGCACTCATAGATGCTAATTTAATTCTACTATTGCCTCTGACAGAACTTAGTTTGTTTCAAAAAGTAAATGTAATAAAAAGTTCTAAGATCAATGAAGATTTGGACACACTTTTCTACATAAGAGTCCCAATCAATATTCCAATGAAATTAGAAATTGTTAATTCTAGGTCAGAAGTATGATGGTTCATCTTTAGCGGTTCTACCACCGAGAAACATAATCGTTAACATACTAAGAAAGTCTGAATCTGAATTGACTTATCACATCAATCGACAATCATCATGCATCATCAAAATCTCCACCGAGAAGTGTCATTTAGCCTTCGAAATAAGGTGATGACTGTTGACTTTAGGTCAATGAATAAGATGATTCGTTTCAAACGATTCTAATCGTGAAAAGTAAAAGCAATACTCCGTCATGTTGCCATACCAACTTAACAATGTGGTGGTATCCGCGGTAGGATTTTTGGGATATGACGCCAAAAGTATACGTCCTCGAAATTTACAGTACTACTAACCAACTCTACGACACGAACTAAAAGGTCTTCACAGTTTCCTCGACACTTATAACAATCTAACAGTGAGATATCATCCCGCATTTCGATTCTAATGTCTATGGAAGTGATCGAGAGGTGGTTAGTCAAAGGGTTTTCGTTTACCTAAATAAGTGATAAGGTAAAACAACAATCATGAGTTTAACGTCCTATTGCAAAGCTTATTCCTAAGCTTCCACGATCCTAATTTATTCGGCTCAAGTGAAGTAGTTCATTGATCCTAGGAGGATTTGATGATTGCTTTTCGGATTTCTACAACTCCCATGATATGACAACTTACATTCGCAAGCCTATTCTCACACATTTAATAAGTACAACTACGAAAGCAAAAATCTGGAATAGCGTTGATTGAAAAATCTCAATGCTAGAAAAAGACCTTGCTTAATATCTACTTTCAAAAAGACTTCATCGACAATCGATCTTCCTCCTAAAGATCCAACATGAACACAAGTACGCTTGAAGATATTAGTGCTAATAGGGACCGAACAGTAATTATCCCTCCGATGATCTTCCGCGGAATGTTACTAAGAAATCAAGATTAACTAAGATTTCCAATCTTTAAAGAATCAATACTAACGGCGGTAGGACAATGATAGAATTATTTGGTAATATCTCTGGCAATACATGATTATCAAAACATTTACTTAGGCCATCAACTTGCCTCACTTTTATACCTTTCCTCCACAAGGAAAATCTTCGTTTTAGTTCTATGGACATGGCCAAAATGATCATCTAAAATGTCGTGAAGACAACATAATTGTCCAAAACTTAAGAAAAGTTAGCATATCTTTCCATATTCGACGAGGTGGCATCATTCGAACGTCAAACACAAAAACCAAGAGTGCTCACATCACGCGTGTGATGAACACAATACTGCCCAACATATGCTTTGATACCAAACTGACACACCCCGACCCAGAAAGTCCACTTGGACCTTGAATCGAGCTGTGCTGGCCGACACCTGGAAGGTGACGAAGCCATAAAATGTGATAGTGTACAAAAAGTGAATAAATTTGAATCTAAAAGTGTCTAAGTACCAGAGTGCGCTACGAGTGGGAGTGAACCCATTTCACATGCGATGTCAGAGCATAAGTAAGGTACAGTAGTATGGGTAAGAATCATACCCTCAAAAATATCCATTAATACTAAGATTCACCACAGATTGTTGTCAATACGAACTCAGCAGCTAAAACCTGGAGGGCACCAAACAGAAGGTGTGAGTAAGTAATAAAACCAAGCTTCCCAAAGTTATTACCTCTCTAAAAGTAATGCCCTAATGTAAAACCCGTATCGTTTTCCATAAGACAGTACAACATATATACATATATCCAAACCATACTCAGAAATGACCAAAACCACGGTTTGCCATTAACTCCACCATACATTAATAAGTAGGCCAAATGAACTAAATCAACACAAA